ACAATGACTTGTTTTCTATTATTTCGACCTCATGGTTGTAAACCTCTTGTGTCAAGTGAAATTAAAAGCCTACAGAGTGACTGACCCTTCACCCTTGTTGACAAGTACTCCTCTTACATACATGATTTATTGGTTCACACACACACTCACACATGCTGGTCATTTACCTTTGCTCTGCACATACTGTAGAATACTTTATTTTCGCTTGGAATTTATTTTCGCTGAAGGGATGATTCCGTGAAAATAAAATCCAGTGAATATACTTTTTTTCCTATATTTCACATTAAACTCATCAGAAATCAGTGAAAATAAATTCCATACAAAACACCAAAAAAGCCTTTTCAGCGAAAATTAATTCCAGCGAAAATAAAGTATTCCACAGTAACCCTGTATAGGTACTAAAAGTCTTTTATCACCATTTGTACATCTCCATATTCAGATCTCTCCAATCCTTCAAATTGGGTATTTGCTATCAAAACATTACCGCTGCCCTCTATAGATTTTTTGGGGGGGGGTGACAGCAGGAGTCCTAATGTCTGTGACTAGTCTCTTTGATTGATTATGTTACATTAGCTAACTCGAAACACAAATTGAATACTTGATTGATGAGTGTTACAAATGCAACAATAGTCCAGTAAATATAAAGAACTAGTGATTTATGATGTACATTACAATATTCCTCATCACAGTTTAAAAAAAATCCAAAAACTTTTGTCTGATATGTCAGGTTTTGAAAAATAATATGAATTGTCCCAAAAATCAATTATTTGTTTATTTGTACACTCAAGAATCATCGCTTCTGTATGTACCGTATGTTTGTACGACGCTAAGAGGTTTAGAAAGCATGCACACAAATATTGATTCTGATGTTAGTTTCTGCTGGTGAAACAACTGGAAATGCATTCGTGTGATTAATAGAATATCAAAATTTGTGATCCACGATTTATTAAACTTGTGTCATAACACTTGTATAATAAACTTGATATCACTGGTCACTCATTAGATATAACTATCTATAACTATCACCAAACGAGACATTCTAGACATATGTTCCAGCAAGTGTAGATGTAGCTTGTTAATTCAGCTTACAGTTCAATCATGTTTTGTTCTGGAGGGTACAGGCCAAGTGACACACAAGTTTTTAAGGAGTTGAATATGGAAAGTCCCTTTTTATGTGGGAGAGGTAGTGCCCATAATTGCATCCAGCCTTGCTGATTACTTTCATGTTTATGTTCTTTTATGTATTCATAATTGGTTAATTTTGAAGATGTAATAATTCTAGGGACAACCCTGTGCGTGATTGCTTGCAATGTATCTTTTATCAGAGACTTGAATATCCAGTTTTGTTTTCTCTTTCCCTTCAGATCTATCAGTATATCCAGAGTAGGTTCTACCGATCACCGGAAGTTTTACTAGGAATACCATACGACTTAGCTATTGATTTGTGGAGTCTAGGGTGTATACTGGTAGAAATGCACACTGGAGAGCCGTTGTTTAGCGGATCTAACGAAGTAAATATATTAACTTTATTTTATTTATTTTTATTTTCCACACAATATTAACATAATAATTTACAGAAACAAAAGCGATGAGATGTGGGCTATTGTGGCGTTTTCTATTTTGTACCCTTCAATGCCAGCTGTCATGTTTTGTTTGTGCTATTTCAATAATAAAAAAAAAAAAAATTTACAATTACAAAATAACATTTGTAACCAGTTCGCTTCCTTGATATTTATAAAATTGAGCAGAGTTGATTGTCAGCATATACTTATGGTTGTTGAATCAGACCCACGGGGGAGCGGGTGATGAACATTACCACCAACATCACTGCTACTGTTCAAGATTCATTGCCTCATGGGTATGACTTTGGTGGAAACTTGCAGGCTCTGAGATGAATGTGCTTACCTGGTGAGGGTTCTCAGATGCATGTGTTTCACAGGCCTAAGCAAATAAATAAGCCAGCATTATAATTTAGCCCTATGCTGTATATTTAGTGCGTTTTGTAATAGTTTATTAATATAACCAGGTATCATATTACATGAGATTGCATTATCTTGCATGTGTCATTCAACAACCTGAATTTAATCAGTCAAACCATTGTCACTGCTATGCCCAGTTCCTCACAGTTTGTCAAATGAATTTTGCATATGTTGAAACAAGAAAAAGTCAACGGTATACAAAATGTCTCATCTATTCGTCTATCTGCTTTACTTTCAGATTGATCAAATGAATAAAATTGTAGAAGTTTTAGGAATGCCACCTAAACATATACTAGATCAAGCACCGAAAGCAAGAAAATATTTTGATAAACTTTCTGATGAAACATACGTGTTGAAAAAGACGAAAGATGGAAGGAGGGTGAGTACTGTGGTGTTATATCTGTGATAGCTAAATGTTACTTATATAATAATATTCATATTTAAGGTCCCAGTGTTAGAGTCTGTCTGAGAGTGAAATTAGTTTAACTTCACAAGAATTAAATTTTTGTGAATTCATAAAAAATGGGAAATTTTGTAGCAGTAAGCATTTCACATTAAACAATTTTTTTATTCACAAGAACAACTAAAGTTTCAGAATATTCTCTTTGCATGACATTTTTTTTTTTCAATCATCTGGGTTTCACTGGTTTCAAATCTTGATTATAATAATAAACTATTTCTTACAGTATAAAGCGCCGGGCACTCGTAAATTACACGACATACTAGGTGCAGAAAGTGGCGGTCCGGGTGGTCGACGATCCGGTGAACCGGGACACAATTTGTCGGATTATTTGAAATTCAAAGATCTGATTCTAAGGTAAGGGATTTCTTCAAGTGTCAAACAGAAGCTTGTGAAAATAAGTGCTGATAAATGAGCAGTTTCCGATATTTTGGCTAAAATGAGCTGGTAAATCTCTATGACAAGATTAAAAAAGAATTTTGAAAATAAGATTGATTTGACCCTTTTTAAATCTGCTGAAGATCAGTCGCACACCCACCACCGCATTTGATATCCTAATAATCAAGCGTCTTTCTTCTCTGTTACGTAGAATGCTTGATTTTGACCCTGCAACCAGGATAAAACCATACCATGCTCTTCAGCATTCATTCTTCAAACGAACAACTGACGAAGGTACGAACACATCAAATAGTACATCAACAAGTCCGGCAATAGAACAGCATCCGGGCGTCGGAGGTTCTTCGTCGGCCTCCTCTGCATCCAGCTCAGGTGGGTCCCGAGGTAATCACCCCAGTTTTGCTTGCTATTATTTGCTTTTGCCATATAGTAACGTTAATTTTTTTTTTTTTTTTGTACGCTTGCATGTGCTTTGTGTGTTCACTGTTAATTTTTTTTTGTGCTGCGCTTTTGATATGGCAAAACCTTCCCCCACCTCATTCTGTTTACCTGGGATATACACCACCTTCTATTAGGTCATATTGATGTGCTTAATTCAATTGCATGAAATCAAACTACGCTGTGTATTGTGTCTCATCATCACAAATTTACGCATCTATTCCACTAATTTTCAGAAAAATAACGTGAAATTTTACCAATCCCAATACCATCATTAACCCATCTTTCTGTTTGGAGGAAATACTTTCAACAACTCATCAATTGTTCATCAAACATTATCCAGAAAAAATTACCCATCAAGTTTGGATTTCCTTGCATTTCACATGTTCACCACTGTACTGTCATAATTTGATAACTGATTTGTAAATACTTCTGGCTGAATTTGGCCAAGGTGTGAAGAATGCACCTACCATATTTTTTCTATTAGAAGCACATCTCCAATAGTCACGTATTAGGGTGTACATGTATAATGGTTGCATTTTATATATGTACTCTCATACATTTACACTAAGTCAGTATTATTCCTGAACAGGGGTGCATTGTCCCTTTGCAATTGTTGTCTTCTGGTACCAAATATTATAATAATTTGAATAGTTTTTTAGCTCTACTCTCCGCTGTTCATATTTCTGATTGTTCATAGGCGTCAACATTTTTGACTTCTTATTATTATCACTGGTATGGATTTCATACTCGCTAAAAATGTACTTTCGGTGTTCACTCAAATAGTTGTTCATTTTGTATTGATAAGTTCAATTTTCTAATTACAGTGAATTTTTATGTAATTAGCTCCGCTGTCGACTTTGTCGAGCGGAGCTTATCATATGAGTGATTGTCCGTCGTCGTCGTCCGTGTCAATGTTTTACTTTTTCGACTTCTTCTTGAAAACTACAAGCCTGAATGCTTTGATACTTGGTGTATATGTACCTTGGGTAGACCTCTCTTAGGTTTGTTCATTTCATGTTGATATCTTCAATTCTCTAATTTTGGTGACTATTTTTGTCATATTTGGTAAAAAGTGATATTTTCGACTTCTTGTTAAAAACCGCAAGTGCAATTGCTTTGATATTACATATATAGGTACTACATGTGGACCTCTCTCAGATTTGTTCATTTTGTAATGATATCTTTAATTCTCTAATTTTGGTGAATATTTTTGTCATTTTTGGTAAAAGGTGATATTTTCGACTTCTTGTTAAAAACCGCAAGTCCAATTGCTTTGATACTACATATATTTTTGTAATTTTTGGTAAAAAGTGATATTTTCGACTTCTTGTTAAAAACCAAAAGTTCAATTGCTTTGATATTACATATATAGATACTACATGTAGACCTTTCTCAGATTTGTTCATTTTGTGATGATATCTTCAGTTCTCTAATTTTGGTGAATATTTTTGTCATTTTTGGTAAAAAGTGATATTTTCGACTTCTTGTTGAAAACTGTAAGTCCGATTGCTTTGATATTACATATATAGGTACTACATGTGGACCTCTCTCAGATTTGTTTGTTTTGTGATGATATCTTCAATTCTCTATTTATTTTGGTGAATATTTTTCTAATTTTTGGTAAAAAGTGATATTTTCGACTTCTTGTTAAAAACCGCAAGTCCAATTGCTTTGATACTATTCATATTGTTCATTTTCTAATGATGTCTTCAGTTCTTTAATTGAAATGTGCATTGCTAACAGCGGAGCTATCTCAGCCGATAGGCTGCTTGTTTTTGGTATAAAGTGATTTTTTTGACTTCTTGAAAACTGCAAGGCTGATTGCTATGATATTTAATATGTAGGTACCTAAGATGGACCTATCTCAAATTTGTAACATTTTTGAAAACACTAGCTATATTATCAGCAATAAGGCTGCTTGTTTGTAACAGCAGTACAAGGTTAATGTTCCATACCACATTGCATTTCCTTCTCACTACCATCTTGCTAACACATCTTGGAAAGAACACTGACTGTGTATGCGCTTCTAATAGAACAAACATGATAATAACAATAATTTCTCCATCACAGAAATTCAAATTTGTTTTATTCCCATTCCTATTCATTGTCTCTTGGTTGGTGATGGGTGAAGTGCTGCCTCACTACTTAGAATAAGGAAGCGAACCATTTATATCATACTTGTGAATGCACTCCATTGCTTGCTTTTTTTTTTCTTGTTCGCTTTAAAATCCCCCTTCAACTAACTACTTCTGTGACGTGAGTATATTTCAGTGAGTATATTACTTTGAGCAATGTGATGGGTAAGCCTAGAAAGTACACATCAAATGAAATGTATGGACATCTTTGTTGCTTTTATTCACTAACACTTGATTATTGTGTTGAAGTTTAGTATTGTAACTGATTTGAACGTGTGTATGTACATGGTTAAAACACCTACAAGGTGCTTTGAATAAATTATGTAATATTCTCTTCAGATTACATCATTAAATTATTGACATATGAGCCCAGTAGCATCATAATCATCATCTGTGAAATTTGGACGCAAGCTGCATTTAAAACTTTAATTTCAAATAAATTTGTTGAAAACTCAATTTCTGTCTTCTTAGGATCCCTGGATTCTCCTGGTAACAATTTGCCTGATTGTTGAAATCAGGGTTTATTATTATGAAGCGATGGCATGAACCAACTCCAAATGATTTAATGATGTAATAAATCAGGCATACCCTGTAAATATTAATTGATTTTTAATCAACTTCGTGTTATAACCTCCATAACATGTCTCATTGTTATTACCTTCTGTCGTCAACTTTTAGGCAAGAATCGTGCTTAAATCTTGCTCAACTAGTAAACTAAACTGAATATGTTTTCTATGAGTATTCATGACTGTATACGACAGAAATATATAATATAAATCTGATTTTGCAAAGCACTCCAACCAATTGCAACATTATGGAGTATGGTTTGCATTACTGAAATCAGTTCACCATATTTTCACACCCAGAGCCATGGGTCAATTTTAATTTAACATTTGTACATGTAACGTTCTTAAATGCAGTTGGAAGTTTGGGTAGATGAATGGCTTTCCAATGAACGTTATGGTCAGCTTGGTGTTTTAAACATTTGCAATAAGAAAGGTTTCTGAAAAATTACGCCATGTGTCTAGTATATGTACTCCCCAGAAAACCATTTAACTAGTTTGAAAAAACTAATCACTTTTTATTTTGCTTCTCTAACAGGTGGTTCGTCTTCTGGTGGAAGAGCACGATCTGACCCGTCACATCAACACACTCAGCTACAGGGAAACCCTGGACATCACCCCGGTGGTGCTAAAGGAAATGCATCTATGGAATATGGTGCTGTCCCTCATCTGTCTCACCAGTCACATCCAGTGTGGTCTGGTGGAGAACCCAGTGGTGCCTCTACGTCACTAATAAACAGTTCTGTTCATTCAAGTACTAGCTCACACACACTTGGCCCAGGCCATGTGCATCAACGTTCACGGAAACCTCTCCCACTCCAGCACCATTCACCGTCGTCGTCGTCGAGCCAAAGTAGTAACCTGCATGGACAGCAGCAAGTATTTGTGCCTGGCGAGCCAGTCAATTTACAAACTATGTCTTCCAGTGTTCAAGCACATAGAGACCAAATTTATTACCAACATGTACAGATACATAACCCACAACCAGGCGTTCTGTATACGCACCCACCACAACATACACAGTTGGACTGCACCCAGACAGGCAGCTTAAATATGCCGCTTGGTTACCAATACCAAATTCACAGTGGACTTTCACATGAACCGGGCAGTCAACCGCCGCCTAATTTACATATGGGATCTAGTTTCACAGCGACAGCACCCGGTGTGACATTTCCGTATACAATAGCGCAGACCACATCGACAAATGTTGCGACGAGTATAGTGACACAGCCGCCGTCGTCGCAGCGGCAGGCAGTTGATCGAGGGGAGGAGTCCCCGATGGTCGGTGTGGTCATGCAACAGAGTCCGGTGGCGAGTCATTGACAATGACTGAACAGTAGTGGTAGTTGTAGCTTTAGTAATGGACAACTTAGACATTAAATTTCATGTACATTTTATCAATGGATTTTCCCTGCAGTCTGTGTGAGCAGAACTTTTTGCAGGATCAAAAAACATCAACCCCACTATGGATTACAAATGAGACTTTTTTTTTTTAAAAAGAAATCTCTAGTCATGTGGTGAAAATGTAGTAAACATTACAAAGAAACTTAAACTGTACAGTCTTCTAAAGCTTTAAACGTTTTCTTTTTTCACCCATGGGATGTAGTAAATACTGACTAGCATTTGGATATATGAACAATCCTAAATATGTTGTCAGATGATTCCTGAAACAAATGTTTTACTTTTTAGTTTCGCAAACCAGTGTGTGCTGTTCTCCAGGGAGTACTTCTCTGTTCATTCTTTCTCTGTATGGGGAAAATATTAAGCGACTTGTGGAGTACATGAAGGATTTTTTACCTCAGTTTCAGGGCCGCCTAGCTTACTGATTTTGAAACTGATCCGTTTATGGCCTGTCAGGTGTGTCGTTAAACCACTAGGCTCCTTAGGTGTCAGTAAAAAGTTGGGGGAGTTTTTCCTGAAAGGAGCAAAGATGATTGGTCCTTCACCAAAATAGATTTTAAAATGGATCCTTATGTCCATTACATCAGCAGCTTTTGCACTCTCGTTAAATGAACCAGTCGTTTAACCATAAATCACTAAAGATAAAAATGGTGGCACCCTTTCACAGATAAAAATTGTCGCAATCAAATAAAATGCTAATTAACTAACTATAAAGGAGATTTGGTGGGAAAGTGTTCGGTTGAAATTCACTTTTAGGGGGGTTGAAAGACTTTTACTGTATTACTGAACTAGTCAGACTTACAAGCAGGCATTGTGATTTTTTTTTTTTTTTTCTGAAATTCGTGTATGTGTAGTTGGTGTGCTGTAAATATGAGTGCCTTGATGTGTGAGAGAGAGACCGAATGGCACAGAAAGTCTAGGCTTTTTGTTGCATGTTGTATGGTATATGTCTGTCTGTCTGTCTGTGTGAGGGCATGCATGCATGTGTGTGTGTGTGTCTGTGTGTGTTTTTATCTTACTCTTCTCCAGTAATGCCAACTTCACTGCCTTTGTATTGTGCGTGTTATGCATCCCATCATACAACAGTGTCTAACGCTGGGCGAAATAGTTTGACTGTATGTTTAAAGTGTGATAGCTGAATGCCAGTGAGGTTTTATTTATTTTTTTCGTGCTGAAGGGTCAAACTCTTTGTTTTTCTTTTTTAAATTGGAGTGTGAATATTGAGGGTAAGGGTAGGCGGTACTAAGAGTGTGTTAACTTTGGGGAATTCTTTCTCGCTGCACTATGCAACGTTTTTTGTGCAAAACTTAATACTTCTACAGTTCTTCGACTCCTAGAAGTACCCCATGTCAGCATACACTACCATCTTCTTCATTCAGTATATCAGTAACCCTGACATTTTTCCACAAATTTAACCCATCCCATTTTCCACAGATGACATTTCAAGCAAGGCTGCATAATCAATCTATGTGAACTTGGAAATCATGTTTCCTGGGTTGCCTACAAATCTGAACAATAAGAAATGTTTTACGAGTTTGTCAAAGTACTAGATGCGTGATCTTGTTTTGCTGTCAAAAAAAAGCGTGTACTAGCTACTGAATGGCAGGCTTTTCTTACAAACAGTGCCCTCACTGTTTTTCTGGTTTTTAATCCACTTTTGTGAACCTACTTGGTTTTATTAATGCAGATTTTGTTTGCTTTTAATCCCTCCTGCAGTTCATTTCCATGTTCTTTTTAATTTTGGTTGTCTTTTTTTTTAAAAAGTTCTGTTCACCCTTCCTGCTTTTGTAAAATAAGAATTTAAAGAAGGAAAATGCGAAACAAAAAATATTTAAAAATTAGGGCAATGCTTTTTTAAAAATTTTAGTCGAGAGCAGATTAGCTGGTTAGTATGTGTAAAACGAATGTAAGCAGTTTGTGTGTTTTAATCATTTTTTTTATGAAAAATATACCAGAATAACTACATGTATGATCATCTACTCTGGTGTACTGTCATACAAATGCAAACCCAATGTTAACCAGTTAACAAGTGTTAACCACTTTCTGGTTTATCTAGGTTATTTCTAGTTTATGCTATTGTGATAGTCATTGAAACATGCAGTGCATTTTTCATGTAGCTACGTTTTCACTGGTAGTCACTGTTGGTTTAGGTAGTAGTAGTAATAATAGTAGTAGTAGTTGTAGCAGTCATACACTGATCGTACTTGATTATGTATTATTAAAGTGACTAGTTAACTCTAGTTATCCACCGATCAACACTAGTTATTGCTGGTTAATACTTGCTAACTGGTTTGTGTCATAATTAGTGCTAGTTAATTGTAGTCATTGATGACTTTTACTATGACTGTGAAATGCCATGTAATTAGTCTTGATCATTGACCCAAATAATTAAACGACTGTTATTATGAAAATATAACATTGTGTCTGTGTTTTATTGCTTTACTATATTTGAGGTCGCATATGTACTGTAAAATACTTATTTTATGAACTGGAATTAATTTTCGCTGAAAAGACTTTTTGGATGTTTCGTATGGAATTTATTTTCACTGATTTCTGACAAGTTGAATGTAAAATATAGGAAAAAAAGGTATATTTGCTGGATTTTATTTTCACTGAATCATTCCCTCAGCGAAAATTAATTCCAAGTGAAAATAAAGTATTTTACAGTAGCCGAATTCATTTTCTGCATGTTTGAGAACACTCTTGCTGGAGGTTGTGTTGACAATAGGTTTGACAATGCTGTCATTGCCAAGTGTGGATTGTACACCCAGAAACGGGAACTGTGAGCTTGGTCTAGACCATCATGAGACAGGTATGGTAAAAAAAATATTTCGGGATTCTGTTTGTTGGATAAGATTTTTCATGAACTGCACAAAATGTGAAGCTCTTATTGTGCTTACAGAGAGTAAATCAAAGTAGAAAGTCAACTTTAAGTTTTTATGAATTTCTCTTTCATGGAGTCCTTTAATTGAAGTAACATGTAGTCAATGTAGCTAATATTCTCACCTTGGATGTGGTGAGGGCGCTAGACAAATTAAAAGGGTATTCTCGGGTAGACATCTGGGCATTTTCACCGCCTGGCAACCATCATGGTGAAAACAAAGGGCGAAAACTCTCAGTTGTTGGGACTCTTCTGACCAGTGTAACAAAATTACCCCTGCGTGTGCATCATATATTAATTTGGTTGCTTAGGATTACTTCAAAGTTGAGTTTTTCTTGACTTTAGCTGTTTTCATCGGCTCTTTGACCAGTGTTCCACCACAGCTCACGCAGACCCATAGAAAATACATGTTACAGTGGTGCACACCTTAGCAACATAGAACATTCTACGACATAGCACCGTCCTCGAGAATATCAAACTCGATCATTCATATGCAAATCAACCTTCGTGCGATGACTAATATTCCAGGTTAAAACTGACATTGTGGAAGGAGAAATGTTCAATTTAATACGTAGTCCAAATGGGAGTGAAAATGATAAACAAACGCAAATTATAGTGATATATGTATAAGAGCTCCACAACAAAGTGTAGATTTGCATACATACTGTTTTGGTAAATGACATGGGATCCCTAGAGCAATATACAAGGCTCTAGCACAAATAGGGGTTTATATCTGTAACCCTAAACTTTTGAGTGAATGGTTCGGACTCGTACCACGCAAAATAAAAAAAAGTTCAGCAGCAATTTGTTCCATTGCCAATGTTACAGCACATTTTTATTAATTACATGAATACAAAACATTATTATAGGCTTTGTTATTTGTGAATAATTTAATGCAAACCCACTTGACATTGAAATGACGTGTCTAATGCCTAAATTTTCCCAGCACTTGGAAATTGCAGTAGAGGCTCTGCTGTGGTTGATGTTGGTTTGAATTCCCCTGCTTGACAAACCTTTTCAATAGTTGAGGACGAACTCTGTTTTTTCATCAACTTCAGACATTGCACATTGACTGAAGCAGCACTTAACAAGGTGCAAGTTCATATTTACAATAGCATAATTACAAGTTATGTTCTGGTCATGTGGCTAAGACAAGTTATATAAAGTTATTTGTAGTGATTACCCTTTACAAGTAAATATGAATTGTGACCGATTTACAATTAGCATAAAGACAAAGAGATGTATGGATTTACAGGAACAAGTGTGCAGTCTGAAAAACTGGTATAAGTATTCTACGGACATTTTCAACTTTCAAGTAATGTTTTTCGGCACAGCATGGTCATTTTTGGTACAAATGGGAATGAATATGATGTTCTTTCTGGTATTTGGACATGCATCAAGCAACTCAGTTCAGAGTTGACACAAAAGCAAGTTCTAATGGCTTTCGCGTTCAACTGACATTCTATGGTATGGTATGGTGATTGAACCTACTCCTGAAATTCAAACGTATATAGGATTATATATATATATATATCAGCTCAGTGTGTCTTTGTTGCTTTTGTTTTCCGGTAGACATCAATAATGCTCCTGGGAGCCTCAATGTAGTATTTGATCCTTCATCTACTAATAAAAATGACTTGTATGAGAATTAGGTTACGTAAACCATTTGCATCTTTCGTTACCTCTGAATCGAAAAGGTGCTTGCAAAAAATTGTGAGCGACATAGTCAGGCCGTTTACCATATTAATGTCTGTATGGTATTTCGTGGGTATATTTTTTAATCGAAATACTTTGTGATTACGTAAGGCTTAATGACGTCACTGATATTATAAATATAAGGTTGCGACTTGTTATGTGTATGTGTTACTCAGTCGTATGTGCGTTGTAAACCCCGTTGTAAACACGAGCTTAATTATGGTAATGCAGTTCGCGTTCGAATATGTGTGAACTAATATTGTATTTTTACACGTGTTGTAAACATTGTTTGGGACTCGTATCGAATATGACGCAGCGCGGCGCGACGACTATGACGATTAACGTTTTACAGAAGTCAATGAAACTCCCTGGTTTACAGCAAAACCCAGATTTTGTCACTGGGATTGCTCTAGATGTTGTAAGATCAGAACAACTGATTGATCACCTTCTTTGTTTCAAATATTTTCTAGACGTATTTAAATTATTTCTTTTTATTTCATTGAAATCATGTGCATTCTTGACGGTTGTTGGACTTGGACATTCTGAAAACCCTTCGCGCCCTTTAGCAACACATCGCGTCTCTGATGTAATATATTGTTTTGACTGTAGTTGTATCCCAGTAAAAACATGGTGTCGAGCTACTACACAATCAAACATAGTTTTCGCTTCCATCAAAATTTTGAACGTCACTTTCACGTTGAAGAACCGCTTCGTCTGGGCAACAACGAGTTACCCGTCGCAGCAGCTAGTCGCCTTGTATGCCTGTTGCTGTCTTCGCCCCATGCGTTGCTCGGTACGCACGTCGCCCCAAGAATCACCTCGTGTAAAACGGCCTTGTGTCACCTCCTCAATCATTGTTCCTTCTAAACTGGCATACAATAACCTACCAATGGAAAATACAGTCAGCAGTAACGATGTTTAAATGCATACAATCTTTTTCTCAAGAACGATCAACTCGGTTTACAAGTGCTGTTGCTAATACTAATTTATATTGTTTGGGAAAAGACATGAACACTTTTTCTATAGAGGCACCTCTTTTTGGAAAAGTTTGCATTCCTATTTCTAAAACTGCGATAAAAACACTTTTTAAAAAAGTAAAATTGTATTGTACATTTTTAATGTATATTTAATCTTTCAGTTGCTTGTAGTCATTGTCTGTAATCGGGGCTCCATTGGAGGGAAATACATTGGATTTTCCTGGTTAAATATAGTGAAATAAATAAATCGTTTTTTTTTTTATATTAGTCGGGCTACCGTTTGTGGGCTCTAGTATGGAGATGACCGAAGGACTAATGAAATAATAAGAAGGTAACCAGGCTAGTTTGACATGGATCGTATTATGCCGCGTATAAAACGCGTATAAAATATGTTGATTATGTTCACGAAATTCGAACTCACTCTCCTCATCGGTTACTTTTCAAATTATACTACTCGTCACACCCAACCCCAAACACACAAAATCACAAATTATCCATTTCATTGTCGTTGTTTTATTATTGTTAAAAAGTTTTATATCTAAAAGTAAATCATTCAAAAAATCATATTTGACGAACAGGACAACATTTTTCAGTGTTAACATGCACATCCTTTAAAGTTAGTTAATATAAATTCTGCAAATTATTCATTTCACAAATTATCAGATATTACAAAAAACAGGTGTTCAACAGATTTTCAACAAAACTATAAAAAGTTCATTTAAGTCGCGTCCTCTAGCGACGGCTGGCTTCTTTGACGTAATAGGTGAAATGACGGTGGTTCGCAGCATCAGTATTGTGTTGATGTGTTATATGTCAATAAATAATGTTGATAAACAAATAATATTTTTGAGATAACGGATTTTTTTTCAATGACGAACAACAACACAAGCAAGGTCAGTTTATTTCAACGTCACTATATGAATTTCATCTATCTACGTCATTCAAAGTCACAGAAACGTTCCGTCACTAGAGGGCGTGACTTATAGAAAAGGTGTTTTCAAAGTTCAGGAATGTAATTTATACACGAAGCTATATGTAATTTTATAGTGCAAATCAAATATGCAAACAATAGAAACTTTAGCTCCTTATTTAATAGAAAGACAAAAGAATGCATAAATCTAATGTCTTTTGGATTAGGAAACTGTACACTCAAGATGTATGATGCACCATGAAATTACAGTCATTTTGTAGGAATTTAATAGTGATATCTTTAATTCTACATGCCATGTTTAAATACTCCCGAGTGCATTCACCTACACACCTAACTTAAAATCTGATGTAAGTATAGCCCCAATCTTTTATATTTTTCATATTTATTATTATTATCGTGGTCGCCTTTAACTGTGAAATATAAAAAACTGAAAAAAAAAACATCGAGTAAAACCATAAAATTGACAAACAATATAAGAACAAATAAAATATGTCAATTAAAAAAACAAAGAAACAATGTGGCATATACCCACATAATATTTTCATACATTTTACTGGAATTTATTTTTTGTCGTTACTAGTCTTCACTGCGTGCAAGATATATTTTTTAATATTTAATACCTGTGAAATCAAATAATTGAATTTGTCGCACAACTAAACAAGTTATAAAATGTAACGTTCTGTGTTCTAATGTACACATAAGGGAGTGTCACAATGTGTGTGAGAAACTATTAAAATCGTTTGATTTCCAGCCAACTTGGGATTTTTCTGTATGGCAATGCACAGTAAGCAATTGGTCAACCTGCAAAGCCCCCCTCCCCCCAACATAATTGTATTCCATTTTCTTGATGTGACTGGAAAAGCCCATTTATTAAAATTATGTTAAAAGCATGTCCAAGAATTAAACAGAAACAAATTATCACTTGTTTAGGA